TTTTTTTTTTGTTTTTTTTCTTTTTTCTTTTGCTTCCTCTTCTTTTTCTTTTTCTTTATGTGTAATAGTAGGCCGAAGCTTAATAAATAAATAAATAAAATAGTTAACATTTTCTTCATTAATGAGAAAAATTTAATCCATTTATTTCAAATCATTAAATTTGGCTAATTGACAGTGTAAATGGTAAGGAGATTTAATATTTTGGTCACTTGGAATGAAACCTGTTGGTGTAAACGACAAAACAAAAAGGAAAAAAAACATGATAGACTTATCTGAAATGATCGAAGTTCTTCTTCCAGTGGCTAATCACCAGGATTCAAGAGCTGCACGCTGCAATCCACAATGGAAGCACTTTCTTTCGAACCATCTGTGCTCAAATTGCAGGGAAAAAAGAGGAGACCTCATCAAGCTTAGTTAAACTATTTTTCAATCTCTCAAATCAGGCTTTTACGAACAATTTTAGCTCTGGTTTCAATACTGTGTCAATACGTGATAGAAACAGCACAATAATATAATTATATTTTTGATAATAAATAGAAAATCTGTCAGTTGGACTTTGACACTCCATATTATATGAACTGACGGTAGACTTACCTGAAATGAGATGTTTCTAGTGTCAACTTGTGCTTGCGTCCAAGAGTAACAAAGAGCAATCCAAAACTGGCGTCGCTCAAATGTAAGCATTCTTTTCAAAACGTCTTTGTTCAACCTTGAAATAAGAAACATCAATAAGGTAAGCTGCCTTTCTTTGTTTTGTCGACTTTTTACGAAAAGGCTTGGTTCGGATCCACTTTCAAAGCACCATTGAACTGAGAGTAAGCTAGGCATTTATAAGCAGTGCAGCAGTAATGAACAGTTACAGACTCATGCACTTGTCAGCAAGTACTCGTACACCAGAATTGGCAACAAATTTTAAAATGTGCAAACACTGTGATTAAATTATCTGAAATTGAAGTTGTTCCCCTCACGAAGAGGTCGGTTAGGATGGAATGACAACGTCAACAACAACTGGTGACTGGCTCCAAAGCTGAACATAATCAGTTCTTGGAAAGACTACAATTTCGTTGATGAACTTGTTATCTTGTGAATAAGAACGAGAAAAATGTTGATAATTTAGTAACCTTTTTGGAGAGGTCAGTGGGTAATAAGTTTGGTATCGTGCAGAAGACCTTAGCTTATTTATGATTAGCGCGTGAACCCAAAACTAAAGATTGAATACAGTTGTGCAACTTTCAACATGAATCTTGGCATCTTCGTTCGTTCCTTTGCAATTGAGGTTTGCTAGGCTTCCTAACCATTCCCTTCTTTCACCGTGGTATGCATGTAGACCTGATATTTGGGTATTGCAAGAAGACACAACATTTTGATCACTCCTGCCTGAATCGTAGAAATGTAAATGGAAGGTGAAATAAGAAAGCTTTGAAGTACTTATCTGAAAAGAGATGTTTCCAATAGTCAACTAATGGGCCAGATTCCAAGAGCTACACACTGCAATCCAAGATGATGGCGGTACTTTCTTTTGAAAAGATGTCTAACCTGGCAAAAATGAGGAGACATCAATTATAAACCATCAAATTATTTTTCATCATGAAACTCAGCCGGATTCATATACCATCTTCAGAAAACATCATAAACACATAGTTACAGTGACTTTATCTTGTTTCTAAAGCAATAGCTGAAGTGAAAGCTGGGGGGTTTTGTCTTACGTCTTTAATTGAGCAACTTTCAACAGGAATCTTGGCATCTTTGTTCGTTCCTTTGCAGTTGAAGTTTGTTGGGCCTGTTAAACATTCCCTTCTTTCACCACGCTATTAATGTACAGTCAAGACCTGATATTTGGATATTGCAAGAAGACAAAACATTTTGATCATTCGCTACCTGAAATCCTGGAATTGTAAATGGAAGGAGAAATATGAAAGCTTTGAAGTACTTATCTGAAAAGAGATGTTTCCAATAGTCAATTAATGGGCCAGATTTCAAGAGCAACACGCTGCAATCCAAGGTGATGGCGGTACTTTCTTTTGAAAGGATGTCTAATCTGGCAAAAAGAGGAAACATCAATAAACCATCGAATTATTTTTTATCATGAAGCTCAGCTGAATTTTCAGTCAAGATATACCATCAGAAAACATTTCAAACACAAAGCTACAGTGACTTTATCTTGTTTCTAAAGCAGTAGCTCAAGTGAAAGCTGAGGGATATTTTGACTTTCGACTTTAAGTGAGCAAAACTGTGGAAGAAGAATGTACCCTTAAGAATTAACTGTACAATTTTATATCCTGTAATGTAAATTAAAGACGTAAAGGAAATTAACCCTGTAAATCAACTTTCAAAGTGTCATTGAAAGTGAAGAATGATCCTCGCATCTACAACCGCAGTTCAAAGATGAATTTTTTCATATATACTTCACGTCAAAGTGTCATTGAATTCACTGAATTTAGTGTAAGCTGCCCATTCATTCAAGGTTAGCAGTAATATAACTAACGATTTTGTACATTGGGAGTTCCCTGACTTCACGTCAAAGTGTCATTGAATTCACTGAATTTAGTGTAAGCTGCTCATTCATTCAAGGTTAGCAGTAATATAACTAACGATTTTGTACATTGGGAGTTTATCAACAAGACTTGGGCACTAATATCGACAAAAAACTACAAATCTGTGAAATTCTGTGATAAACTTATCTGAAATTGAAGTTGTTTCCATCACGGAGAGGCCGGCTAGGATGGACTAACTGTGTCGACCACCCTTGTGCTGAACGCCTCGCGAAGAGAATGCAATTTCTTTGGACATATCTCTGGTATGTTGTGGAAAAGAACAAGAAAAACGTCAATAATTTAGTAACAGTTAGGTATATTTGTCCGTGGGTAATAAATTTCAATGGTCATTCAGGACGGAAACTATTCAGTCTTTGCTATACATAAAGTTTAGACAGCAAATAAATGAATTGATGGTAAACTTTCTCTCAACCTGCAGAACAACCTTCGTAAAATCTATGGAAGTTATTGGCGTCATTTTAAAACTTAAAAAATAAATTGGAAAAAAATTAGGGAACTCAAAAGGGAGAATATACACCATAGCGCACCGAACCGGGAACGGAAGGGTTACAACTGATGACGAGCGAAAAGGCATAACTTGCGGTTGAAACAAGCTTAATATTAAATATTCGTAAGAAACATTTTAACTGGACTGAATCTTTARGGACTGCTTACGAACCAAAAAGCTTGTTCATTGTTAATAAARCCGCAGTATTTCATCAACTTACTTATTGAACGGCGCTTTCATTATGGCGTCTCTTGGGCGTCACTGATGAACACCGAGCCGAAACGTTAAACGTGCCATAATTAAAGAGACAGCTAAACGAGACGAAAAACGACAGCAAATCAGTACACGAATAAACAACCAAGAGAAGGGAGAGACAGTTAGAAACTGTGAATTTACCTGAAGGAACTCAATAGACGAAAGGTACAGGTTCGCCTTGTTAGCACACATGCAACATGACCGACACCAGAGTGATGGGTGTGTCCCTTGAGACTTCGTTATATAGGCAATTAAAATTCACATGTAATGTGAGAAATATTCTTCGCTCACACCGAATTTTTTTTTTTTTTGCGATTGTTATGCATTGAATAATTGGCAATTGGGAGAACCGACTGCGTCAACAAATTCTTAGTTACCATAGCTTCCTGACTTGTAATGAATCTCGACGGGGTTTTAAATGGAACAATTCTTTGGATTTCGACTGACGGGTAATTTCATTAAGGCGAGGAAAGAAATGAAGAAAATTTATGGATAGCTGGTACCCGTAAAGGAAGCATTCCATAGACGCATGCAGGCGTCGATACATTCGCTTAATTTTCAAGTGATTATTTAAGCGCGTGAATTCAAGTCGCACATGTAAGTATGCCGTATTTTGGCGAATGTCGGGCGAGTCAAAATTCAACTCAACCTCAATCCCAGGATCTTTCTGCTTTACCTCCCTTGTCGTTGAGGCGAGAGATTTTCTCGAGAGGCAAAGGATAGAGAGCCTGGGGTCAAGGTTAAATTCAATTGACGAGTAAAAGCACGCAGGCAGCCAATAAACCATGACTTAAACTGTTTGTCGTTTCACTCGGCGGGGCATTTCAACAAAGAGAATTTGTGAATAACAGTCTACCATTGTTGGCAAATCCACCGTAGAGACTTTTCTTGGAAAAGTAAAATAACTCCAGGGTGCAATCAGTTGCTTAGAAACTTGCGGAAGAAAACTTGGTTAAGTCCACTCAAGCAAACCCATCATCAACCGACACTTGTTCCCTGATTAAAAGTTGGATTATAAAAGAAAAAACTGCACTTTTGGACCTTGATATTTTTTTACGCCAATTTAACTGCTGTTTTAATCTAGTTTGTGTGACCAATTTCAGCTTTGATTGAACTTCGGCGATTAGTGATAGGCACGCAAAGCGCGCACGAGCTTTTTCATAGGGAGTATGGAATGTGGAACGGTCTGACTTGGAACGATCTGACCCTGTACAGTCAGATTGTTCCACAAAAAAAGTCGGATCGTTTCACTTTTAAAATGAGTTTGAGAAATGTTGCCTGTTACCTCTGTTTCAAAACGAGTCCTCATGCAAAACTGACTTTGATTTGCATGAAAATAACTTCCAGATGAACGCGTTTTCATAACAATGGTTTTGCGGCCTGGTTTTGCACGTTTCGTCTTGAGACAGAGGCAAAGCGCAAATCGGAAATAGCCTATTTACTTTACAAGTCGTCTGCTGCCGACTGCCGCTTCTTTTAAGACGAGTAGCACTGGGTACAAGAATGTATCTGGGAGTCCAGCACCCGCGCGCCCGCGAAATTGGAAATACATGAAGTACCGACTAAAGTACCCAAGATGGCGGAGGAAACCAGCTCAGTTTCCAAGGTTTATAGCCCTTTAATTCAGATTTCTAGGTACTTAATTAAATTAGAAATTGTTCTAACCTGTGCTTAAATGTTTGAAACTTTAGGGTTACTTTCTAATCAAGAAATCGGTGCCGCATTCTCCAAGAAAAAGAGTGGCAGGTTTGTTAATTGTAGAAGCTCACTTTAGTATCATGTTCACTGATATCGGCGTGTTTAGCTTTAGCCAATTTTTATATAAATATCTGTTGTTACGGTTAACCATCTTACGCTTTGGCTAAGAAACACTCAGTGTTTCTGGAGTGAGAATGAGGTGCGTACTTTGTACAAGCAAGAGCCAAATCAGAGCAAGAATCCTTATAGATTTTTTATAGTCAGAAGTTAATAGATAAAATGTAAAATGTTATAATCTTGCTGCGACTCTGATGTCTATCAGTTGCTAATACCTAGACCAGTGGTACGCAATGAAAAGCTTAATTTTGAACAATTTAGGTTGAGTTTTAAGATATCAATTAAATTTCTTAAAATATCAACTGAACCTTGCACTACAGGTACAGACATCCCATGCTCTCCTATCATTTGTCTGGGCTACTTGTGTAACAGCTTGAATTTTTTCTTAACAGAGGAATACTTTCCAGAGGTTACTGGAGAAAGTGCAGCCCATCGTAAACAGAGATATACAAACTATAAAGAGTGTTGGGATTCTATGAAAAGTGAGATTGAGGTAACACGAAAATTAATGAAAGGCTTGAGATGGAAAAAAGGTTTAACTTATCAATGTAGAAATGAAAGAAATAATATGACTTTAGAACTACACATACTTATTAACCAAGAGTGAGGTCTTAATGCGAAAATGTCAAACTGAGACCCTTTGGTATTGACCGAGTGACAAATACGGCATACAACAAGGCTGAGGCTTGAGATTTTCCTATTAAGACCGAACATTGTAGGTGCTACAAGCCATGCATGTAATAAACATTTATAAGTAAACTTGTATAGATCCTTAAAAAGTGTTAATGTCAACCCTGAAAAAAAGATGTCAATTACGTTTTGTTTTACCTAAAGGACTTGCAGTCTCAGATGAACAGTACAATATTTTCCGACCTTCTTGAGTTCATGAAGAGTGCGCACAAGATCAAATCCTTGGAGATTGAAAGGACCTCTGTCATACAGGAAATACCTACAGCTGCACTCATCACAGGTAAGCAAGTGTAAATTCCCATTAGTCAGTAGAAATTAGATCCTAAAATTTTACTCTCAGGGTGGTTTTCAATTGGGTGTTTAAAGTAATCAGGCAATTACTTTGCTTTTGGTTTTACTAAAGGTTTGAGATTGGCTGACCAGTCTAATTGGTAAGTAATTGGGTTGGTTTTAGTTTTATGACACTCAATTGAAAACCACTCTATTATATGGCTTGTGTTTTTAACTAATATAATGCATGCTCTGCTTGGCTTACTCTAGGGCATTACTCTCCCATAATGTCCTTGGGCTGATCAGGGGCTTGCAAAGGCAAAGCACAGGCCATATAATAAACAAGTTAATAACCTCAAAGGTTTTATCTTTACAGGAAAATCTCAAACCTCGGCCTTGCTGTGTTAACTTTGTTATCATTCAGCGAATGCAGCATGTTCTCAGTTTGAGATTTTCCCATAAAGACGTCCTTGGTTAATAACTGGTTATTAAAAGGAATCAAAAGGTTATTTAGGATAGACAGAAGAGGAATAAGTCAAGTCAAGGCTCATAGTTATTTATTTGATGTAACTCCATTGAAACATACATGTGTGAAATTATGTTCCTTGTTTTCATATAGTTCTTTGGAAATTTTTTTTTCATATAGTTCTATGGAAAGTTTTAGAGAGCTCAATATCACAATGAAAGCACTCCTTTTATAGCTAACATTGCTTACATATTTAGCTGCAAGTTGGAACAGCTATGATCTTTTCCTTTATTGCACTTGAAAAACATAAATATTGACATGCATTATATTTTGCAGGGGTGAACATGCCAGATCATGATGTTATATTCTCTCAGCTAGCCACAGAACTTAACAATCAAATTACTCCTTTTGTTGCCTTGCTGCGGTCTAAAGATTGTACAGGTTCAGTTCACTTTTCCTATAATCCCCTATTACTTGTTTCTCTTTTCTTAGCTGCAACTGGGGTGAGAGAAAGTTTTAGAATGCAGGAGGTGTCACGCCTCATTATTTTCAGAGCACTAACAATACAGACTGAGTATAAATAGGAAGTTCTAGATATCCATTATCTCACTTGGTAATAAATTTTGTTCTTGTCAGTTATGAAAACAACCATGAAAAATGTGATATCACAGTTCCTTGGTCATAATGTGCAGGTAAGCTTACAAAAGGTTTAATGCATTAATCTATGTGTTCTTTTCCAGATATGCATGACATACCAGGGCTGTTAAATTTTGACTGCTGCCCTTAAAAAGTGTTAGTTGTCTGTGGCATAAAATGAAAACATTATAACAGGAGCTCAGTTACAGTATTTTGAGTTATTAGCTTTANGGCTGTTAAATTTTGACTGCTGCCCTTAAAAAGTGTTAGTTGTCTGTGGCATAAAATGAAAACATTATAACAGGAGCTCAGTTACAGTATTTTGAGTTATTAGCTTTAAATTGAAGGAAACCTGAAAATAGTTATTTGCTAAGATGAGAAAATGCCAACTAGATACTAATAAACCATAGTAAGTAAGTAAGGAACAAGGATAGTTATGGATGGAAAAGATTGACACAGGGTACAAACAGTGGACTTGAGAAATTTAGGCTTAACTTTTCAAGGAGCGCAAACCATGGCATAGCTCCTTTAAATGAGTATGACTCCTAACGTCACCCAATATTAATGAAGCAGATAATCTCTTGTGGATGGTTTTCTGCTCAGCATGCCATAAATAATTGATAGCCTACCCTATGGAGTTCCCTTACTACTTGCTAATTTAAATGAAAAAGTTTGCCATTACAACTGTAACAATCGAAAATGCATCATTTTGTTGTATTTCCAAATAAACTAATATTTGCTACTTCACAGTGTGGACCTTGCTGGCATATGATCCCTAAACCTGATCCATTTAAGAGTTAAATGTTACATGATTGGAAGACAGTCTTGACATGATAATTTCTTTCCAAGGACGAGGACGATCCTGGCCCTTCTGAGCAAGCAAAGAAGATCAGTAGTTTTACTATGCCTGTGCTTTGCCACTGGTACAAGAAAATGACCAAGGTTTGTCAAACGTTTCAAAGCTTTATTTACTTGTTGAAAAGTATGTTGGACTACAAATTGCTGTTTACAGCTGACTGCAGTTCACCTCTTTGATTGAACAGCCACTGAAATAATTTTTATGTTCATTCCTTTCAGCTTGATGGCTCCAAAAGAAGACGCAGCACAAAACATTCTCAATACTCAGGTGAATTTATTCTTCTAGCCTACGTTTGAAAGTTTTAGTTGACTCTTCAGTATTAAATGTTTATGGAAGGCACTTGCCTCAGACCACCCCAACTGGCACAGCCCGATTGCCATTGGAGCTCGGGCAGCTGAAGAACACAGAACTGCCTCTGCAGAGAAGAAGCGAGAGATGCGCAACACCAGTGCAGCAAGCATCCAGCACCTCATGCCCACCCATGTTTGCCCAACCTGTGGGAGAGGGCTCCATGCCTGGGTTGGCCTCAACAGCCACCTCTGGACACCTTGTACCTGGTCATCCAGCAACTGATGTCATGGTCATCTTCCGCTCCGAAGGACAAACAACATTAAATGTCTCTTAGTAAATAAATTATCTAATTATACCAAATCATTGTCAATGACTCTCATCAGTTTTGACACCAGTATTTTTCAATTCCAGATCGTCCTCCTTTGGTGATTATTTTTGAGGACTTTGAAGGTTTCCTTCCTGCTGTTGTTCAAAATTTTGTGACAATTTGTAGGTATGCTCAATATAAGATTTCAAGGACAATCAGTATGGAATTCCATCAATGAATGCAAAATATATATTATGCATTCGTCCACAATAGGTCAGAGAATGAAAAGTGAAAACCTTTGACTGTGCTCTTTGTGAGTGTCAAAGAGACTTAAGAATGAATAACTGACGTTTTATTAATATCTTTCATGCTCGCAAGTCCCACACATGGAACACATGGTACTTTTTTACACTTTGTGGCTTGCATTGTGTAGTTGTTGTAGAATTCTTTTTCTCTTGATGTAAACATTATTGGAGCTGATACTTGTAGCTTGATGTGTAATTTACTCTGACTCTGTCTTCACCGCAGTGAGAAGCTACAACTTCTAGGGGTAAAACTTTATTGACACAACAATAATATTGTCTAGAGCCACAGGTCTGCAATGCATGCAGACTGACTAAACGTATAATATTATCATAGATCTGTATATTTGCATGAAGAACAATTATAGATGTTACATTATTTATCTTTCACCATAGCACTTGTTTTATTCAAACTGGCTTAAGATTTCAATTTTTTTTTTTTTGCAGCCAATACCTGCATGAACTTCCCTTGGTTTTGGTCTTTGGTATTGCAACAGCAGTGACGACCATTCACAAAGTACTTCCGCATGCTGTTTCTGGCGTGTTGTCTATTGAAAGGTTTCAATCTCAGCCATCTCACATTTGTGTTCTGGAGATCATAAACAAGGTTGCCTATCTTGTGTCTTCTCTGTCCACATTTATGTAAACCCTAATTTATCACAACAACATGACACCATGTTCCATAAAATGATAAGTCCATAATTTTATTTTTACCTAATTTATTTGTGTTAGGTGTTGATGACTGCCAAGTTTCCTGTCAAGCTCGGAGCAAGAGTGTTTAGATTTCTGTATGAGAACTTTCTGTTCCATGATTTCTCACTACAAAACTTTGCCAGAGGGCTTCAGGTATTATACCACTTTTTGAATNGCCACCGCGCCTCCCACTTTTTGAATAGATAAGGATGGAAATCTATTTTTCTTAGTTGAAAATTGTCAAAAGATCTTTGCTGATCCCACAAGAATCTTTAAATTCTAAGATTTTTGATTTTGACAAATTCATAACAAAGATCTTACAGATCCTTAATTGCCATGTCAAGGTCATCAAATGTCTTCTAAAGATAATGATACTTGAAAGATCTTTATCTTAAAAGATCTTTGTCGGGACAATGGCAGGACTTTTATATCTTCTGAATCACTTGTAAGCTAAATATTAAATGAAATAAATAAGTGACCTTCATTTATCCTTGGCCAGTGTTTTAATCCAAAGGCTAGTGGGGCCAAGCAAATTAAACATAACAAGGTCAAAAACCCAATTTGTCAGGATGCAAACAGTTGGCTAATAAACGAAACTGTAGAGTTGAACTTGGGTTTACTGTGAAAGAACTCCAGCTAGTGGTCAGAGTGGGACCTAAACCTGTGACCTGCAGATTGCAGGTCACACTGCCTCTATGTGGTGTACCCGGACCTCCTGCTCTGAAAACTATTCTCTGTCGCTTTGATTTTATGTGGTGTTTTGTTATTTCTCTCTTTTAGTTTTGCTTGATGGAGCATTATTTTGAAAGTCCTTTAAGTGTGCTTTGCTGCATGTCATCAGAGGACAGAGAGGGTATTCTGGACAAAATGGGTCACAAACAGGTGGAGATGTTGAGGAAAACAATGTCTTTCCGCAGGTAAGGTGCCTTACTTTGTGAGCTTGCTGGATGATCTTGTATTTTTTCATTGCTGGAGCTCATTACATTTTCTCCAAACAAGGTTGATTTTGTGTGGCTTGAAGATATTTTTAGAATTCATGATCTGTTATAAATTAGATTTTCACTCAAGGTAAATAGATCTAGGAAGTTTCACGCAAGACTGACGGAAATGTTTTACATCAATCCTTTTAGTCTAGTTTTGTTTTGTTGGATTTTAATACCTTAAAACTTCACCTGCATTACTTCACAAAAATGTTCCCATAGAAATTTTCAGAACTTTACCAACCATAAGACAGCTGTGCCAGGTTTAAGATCCAGAAAAGTCTTTTCTAAAATTATCATTTATGACAAGTAATTTGGTCTCATGTGAAATGGCAGGTGAAGTCATTACACTCATTGCTAGAGGCAACTTTGATACAACTTGCCTTAGTTGAAACTGTCAGCTTTCCCTAGTACACCTGCAATGATACTTTTTCTTTCTGTCTTGTTTATGGTGGTAGTCTAGTTGCTGAAATATACTCTGATTGCGCCACCTTTCACTGAAGCAAGTTTAACTAACTTAAACTAATTAGAAACTGTTTTGTTAGAGTGGTTTTCAATTGAGAATAATAATATTAAGAACAATTCATAATAATAATTGTGGGAGGTGCGGTGGCCTCATCGTTAGTGTGCTCATTTCCAGACCGAGCAGTCCGGGTTTGAGCCCTGGCCAGGGACATTGTGTTGTGTTCTTGGGCAAGACACTTTACTCTCACAGTGCCTCTCCCTTCAGCCAGGTGTATATTAAATGGATACCAGCAAATTTAATGCTGGGGGTAGCCCTGCGATGGACTAGCATCCCATCCAGGTGGGAGTAGAAATACTCCTAGTCACTTCATGCTACAGAAACCGGGATAAGCTTCGGCCTGGTGGGCACTTGGCTCGTATGTAGACTTAACCTTACCTTACCATAATAATAATAAATAATTCAATTATTGAAAACCACTCCAAGGTTGTGAGATAAAGTGTATTTCATCTCATCATGTCTGTTTATTGTAGATATGTTGAAGGTGAACCACCTTCAAAGCAAACTCAGCTGTTATTGGATGATTCATTCACAAAGGTTAGATGCATGTATTTGGAAATTAAAGTAGTATAGTAAGTGACAATTTAGCCCCATTTCAGGACAGTGCCGTTAAAATATTGTTTGGAGGTGAGTTAGGGATGTCTAATTCGTGGCTGACTTCTTTGCCTCATTTATGTTAACATTGGAGCTATAAATGTTACAGAGAAGGAAAAAGGGAAAAGTCCTAAGTTGCTTCTCAGAGAGGCATCTGATGCTCTAAGAATCTGGCTTTAGAATCATGCTGAAGTGTTATTTTGGCAGCATGTTGTACATATTTTCATTTTTATGGCCCTTACAACAACAACAACAACAACAACAACAACAACAACACCAACAACAGCAATGACAGTTGTTACAACAACACCAACACCACCAACAATGATAGTTGTTTCTCAGATCAGTAGTGTTCTCTCTATGAGTAATGTGTAATATGAAACCATACATGTATCCACTCAGTCTCAGTTTTGAGATTATTCAAACCCACTGGTAACCTTTGATAGTTGATTACAACTTTGCAAAACGTTTTTATACTGATCTAACTTGTTCATGTACTTCTTAAAGGATGTAATAGCTGAGCTGCTGGATGATCTTGATAAAAATCATTGGTGTTTCTTCCCAGTTCTGCAGTGTCTTCATGTCCTCACCTGCAATCTCCCACAACATCCTCTTGGAAAGAAGGTTGTTAACACAATATCATGTCAAGGTCTTAGTCTAGAAATCAATTTTTTTTTCTTACAAACACTGAAATTTTTGTGGTCTATTCATTTCCCAACCAATATTAAAGGACCCCTTTGAATGCCAATTCAATCTGACTCTTTGGCATGGTAAAATGCCATGTTGTTTAATTATTTAACAGCTTTTAACTTACAGTTAATCTTGTTGTACTTTTACCTTACAGCTACTGTCAGCAAAATTAATGTTTTGATATGTTTATTTGCTTTCTTGATCCCATTAGCCCAGTGATGTTTATGAAAACAGTCTTTCAAGTAACATCTATGACCAGGATGCATATAAGGAGGCTATGTCTTTGCTTAGGTATATTTAAATATGTCTTGATGCTCTAGAATCAATGGTCAGCAGACCCACAGATGACATCAAGAGATTTGAGCAAAATGTGCAACCACACCTTGCAAATGAAGGCAGATAGAAATTCAAAGTTCTGGGAAAACCAGATCTTACTAGCATTTTCTGTGTTACGGACACATAGTAGAAATGAAAAAAAAAAAAGAGAGAAAGAAAGAAACAGAACATAAGGGTTGTCACTCTTAACTTCCTGATTGTTGTCTGGCTTGTCTCAAAAAAATTTCATCAACATTGATGTGTCAAATATATTAATAAGTTAGAATATAATTATATAATAACAAAATTGATGAAAAAAATTCTCATTTCCATTGTATGCTGATAAGATTTTTTTGTGTTACATGTCTTTACTGTTTGCAGGCTTTGGAAGAGTTTTGAGTGATAACTGGTGTATGATCAATGCTTCTTTATTAAATTCAATTTTTTTATTTCCAGAGTTTATTCTAGAGATGAACTTCTTCCACATCTTCAGAACTGTGTCGATGTGTTGGGAAATGCTTTAGACAGTCCTGAAACTGAAAGGTCAGTCAGTGCTTTTAGTCATTGTGCTTTGGATAAGTGAAGTCAGCCAGTAATGTTTCACTTACAGCCTGTTGTGTCTTACTTCTAGTCATTGCCAAGTGCTCAAGGAATCAAGAGATATCATCACTGGACTTCTTAGGCAGTTTGATAACCTTAGTGGTAAAGTAGAATATCCCTGACTAGTCTTACAAGAAGAAATTCGTAATATTATGTATTGTCGCCACCACATAAATAAGTTATGAATGCTAACAAAATAGAAGCTGCTTTAATTTTACCACACCAAGTCAAGAGACACGGTTGCAATGGCTAAGCATAGTCCTTAGATGGAAACCCTCATGAGAGGTCTCTAAGAACATTCCCACATGCATAGCAGGGCCCAAGATCCAGTCCTCATGGTCAGTTCCTTATGGGAGGTCCATTGATATGATCCTTATGTTGAATCCCTATTGCAGATCCCTAACCAGAGTCCCTGTAGTCAAACTATTAATTCTGTATGGTCCTTATGAGAGCTTCTTGGAAGTAGTCTGAGTTAAGGGAGGTCTCTACAAATTTGCAGAGTTTAAAATGTCAAATAATATGTGTAACTTTGTCATAGTTGGTATGCGAAAATGATATTAAAATAATCTTTGTGTGTTACTTACAGGAATTCAAGAAACTCAAGAACAGAGTTCAACTTCAACTCAGAGAGAAGCTCTCTCGTCTGTTACAAATAGATTTGAGCTGCAAGAGGTACTTCAAATGTTTGGCACACTGTGCTCAAATGTTTCTTTGTTAAATTTTCCGACTGATAGCTGAGAATATTGTATACAGCACAGTATTGTTCTTCATGTCTGACTCAACTTTGTTCTCTGTCTCTCTCCCTTCCTCTTTCTCTTTACCTCTTCATGTCCTACACTGTTTCTTCTTTCCTCCATGCCTTAGTGTTGTGGCCATTATTTATTTTATATTTATAACAGCGACTTATGAGTGCAGCAAAGCAGAAAAGGAAAGAATCTCCTTATGATAAGCTGCGTCAAAAAACAGTTGACACTTTGGATGAGATGTTCAGGTAACAAAATACTTAACGGTACTTCACTGTATGGGTCATATTCTATGAGTCCACAATTGCTTGGGTCCTGGTAAACATTTTTTCGTAAAGCTTGGCAGGTTTAGGTCCCCATATTTCCATGAGTTTGAAATGGATTCTTGCAAAACTTCGGAGATTTAACTAAATTCAGCACAATAAATTGATCTACGGAGCTGGTTTTTTGTTCTTATAAAAAAAAAAGTATGAAAACTTGTTCATATTGTGTGACATCATCAAAGTGGTCCATTAACACAAAAGCAGAAGCATATGGGTTATATGCTTCTGCACAAAAGTTACAAGTTTTCTGCATATCACCCTATTTCATCTCTTTCCTTGGGTTATGCCTGGTAGTAATTTTTTGGAGTGCTGGTCATGCAAGACATGTTAGCTCACACATTTGTCACTTCTCTCATCATAACAGCTGAATTTTTTTTCTTTCTTACTTATCAGGAAGTTCTTGACTTCTCCACGTAATATGCCTCTGTATGAAGTTATGTACTATGACAATGTGCAAGAGATAAGAAAGGTTTGTACACAGCTCATTTAAGGTTACAATTTATTCTATAAGTTACTAGATAAAGTAAATCAACTTAAATGCTTATACTGGTATAATACAGTGCAACCCATTTTAAAGTTATATCTGGTGTTTGGTATCACTCACTCATCCTCTTTACTCCTGTGAGTGGAGCATAAGACTGCCAAGTAATGTCTTCAATCCATCAGGGTCTTTAGCTTGGTGTTCCACCTCATTCCAGCTAGTCCAGCCCAGGTCTTTGCACTTAGCTTCAACAGTCTTATACTATGTGCAGTCCCTCTTTCGCTTAGTTAGTCCTGTGTGGCACAAAAGAAAACCGCAAGAAATAAATGGACCAAGCAAAAGAGGGACTACTTGTAACTAGTCTATGGCAGTATGAGACACTTGTATATATACAAATTTTTATGCTATCATTGAGTTGAATTAGTTATTACAAACTGGCCTCTTTTTTGGGAGGCAGCTGTCAATATTAATTTTGCTAGTCTCTCTCTCAGAGTATAGTGTTATTTTGTCATTTCTAGCACTTGGTTGGGATGCCTCGTGTTGCTATTCAAACAGCTCTTAGTAATCCACAGCATTACCTTCAAGTGAGTACTGCACTACGAGTTAGGTAGTCTGCGAGCAGGCGCATGTTTGTTTAACCAGACCTCTCCTGTCAGATCACTTCACTCACTGACTCGCTCTTCACTGCTCTCTTGTGTTACTCAAAGGCGAACCTGCTCGCAGGTTATGAGTTAGGATCCTTGCTTTTTTGGTATGTGATGCAGAAGGACAATGAATGAAGACATAGATAGTGGTTTCCTCCCTGGAACTGCTGGAAGTATTTCTTAAACTTCCTGGACAGTGGTTGTCTTCTGTTGCTTCTTGAGATGTTAAACTTGATATTTGATTGTAGCACCCCATGACTTTCCATAGGCTTTAGAAGTGAGATAATGCCAAACCAAATGCAAATTTGTTCAATCTGGGCTGATATCTTCCCCTTAGGAAACAACTGAACATTATGTAACCTCTGGATAGTGTTTTCATAGATGTAAACAAAAAGTACCCACCTAAACTGCTGTCATATTTTTATCACTTGTACACTGCAATCCAAAGAACACTTGATCATTTTAGTATCATAGATTTATCCCCCATACCAGATAGCCTCTCATTCTCACTGATTTTCAATTTAGTGCGAGTGTTGTCAGACAGATGTTGGAACAGTTCAAGACACTTTACCAGACATTTGCATAGCTTACAAACTTCACTTGGAGTGCGGCAGACTAATAAACCTCTACGACTGGCTCCAGGTTTGAAGCACGTTTTTGGTTGTCCTGTGAAAGCGGTCATTTTCCTTTTCACTATCAGTAATCAATTCTTTCAATTTTTATCATTTACATGTAGGTCAGTCCTTGAATTGTTAAATTTTCTGTATCTTATGCACAATGGTGATCTTGCTGCACATTCGTACACACTGTTGGTTTCATGTCAACTTGGCTCTTCTTTTTTTCAGGCCTTCACATCTGTTTTGGAGCCTCCACTAACACATCAGTCTCCAAAGGGCTCGCCAAAGAAGAAACAGAAAACAAATGAACAACTTCAGTATCCTTATCATTAAGTTGTTTCAAATATCTTCTGTAATAATTATTTTATTGATCAGAAAAAATGGTAGAAATAGTCAAGTGTTGTCTGTTGATCTGTGACAGTCTGTCAGTTATAAAGGATTTCTTTGGTGGTGTTAAGAAACAAGCCTATTACCTCCTTTCATGTTTCATTTGTCAGTTAATTATTGATCAAACCAGGATCCTTCAGAAAAAATCACTCACTCCTACAATCTCGCCATAAAGGAGAACACAAGACTTGCAGGTTACATGTTGTGTCAGTTCTACCTTAACTCAACCTGCAGTGCTCGTTTTATCCAGGCTGTATCAGAACTTCAGTTTCTTGGATTCATCAAGTCAACAAGACAGAAAACTGATCATGTTCAGAGGCTTACTTGGGGTGCATGTTGACGGCAATGGCTAAAACTGAACCACAATTTCACGCCACTTAGCAACGTTCATGGAATGTAATTTATTTGTGTTCACTGAAAATACTGTTGTGTTGCAACATGAGTCCTTAAAACTGATACTGGCCCATGGAAAATATTGCGTTCTTTGACAACAACACAACATGGAGGCATGTGTTTTGGGACTGCTGATCCTAAGAAGCAAGCCAAAGTCAAAAAATGGATGACAGATATTAGACTTAACATAATATTAAATCGTCTTGATGAGGACTGGAAGAGACAAGACTCCTACAGACAAGGGAAAAGAAAATATTTTACATAATTTCCTTCTGATATTTCAAAATATGCCTAGACTTGATCTGTACATTATTGACAAAGTTTGCTGGAGGATGTCAGCAAGACTATGCCATTTTTTTATGGTGCATGTTGTTTCAGAAACTTAAATTTTTAAAACCCATTAAGCCTGGGAGAACAACCATGGTGCTTGCAAATTTCGTCTTCTGGAGACAAAGCAATAAAAGCTTGACTTTTTTCAGTTGCTGGTAAAATTGACCTTTGGTACAGTGAATCTTTCTATGGATCATTTTTCCATGGATTATGTCTTGTTTTTCACCCTGAAAGTACAAGTGCGAAGCTGATTCCCAAATATTATGTTTACTTATTTATTGGACCATTTCCATGCAATGTGCTTTTACATGTTGCTATTTAAAGTTTAATTAATGAACATTATACTACAGTACTAGTGCTCCGTTAGCCTTAAATGAAAAAAAAAAAAACTGTGAAATGATAAGCAAAGAATCTTTGAAGAAAGAAAGTTTGTACAAATTAAACTGATTTGAAGAATAATTATGATACAAATAAATATTTTGGTACAAAAACATACTATAAAGCTGGTTGTATGAGCACACTTTTCTTTATGCCATGATGTTCTGGTATTATTAAATGAGCAACACAAATGGGCCAGGGGGATGAGAAAATGAACGTGGGAAAGATTTAATGTAGAAGGTATTTAAAACAACACTTCGCTCACATGCTCATCTTCACTTTCTCTCCCCAGTCCACTCTTATCTTTTTGTTGTCATACATATTAAATTCGTTTCTCTCACAAGCTGTGAACCTGCGAAAAATTAAATTGGACTCCGTTTCCCAGTGCAAATCAATAATGATGGAGCTTTCCAGTAGTATCTTACAGTCAAGCATTCTTGTATATTTCCTCAATGTTAATTTTCTAGACTGTGTAACCTTATCTAACATTGTAACCTCTTCTCCAGAAAACAATATTTCATTCTGCGAGAACCATAAGAGGTCAAGTTGTCGAGTTACATGTTCACTTTTTGACAATTCATTTGACATGTCTGCTTTACACAGTTCTTGAAATTTGATTTGCTAGTTGTCAAAAAAGATGTCCAAAAATTGTCAAAAATGTATTGATCACAAACTTTGTCAAGTGGCAACATATGGCAGTAACTGCCATAAATTACGTGTGCCAGTCAGCACATTCAGAATAGACACATGTCACTAGAGTAATCAGGTTTCAGTTCATCCTAGTTTAATTTTCTTCTGTCTGTTCGTGTTTGTAGAACTCCTTTTGGCAGGTGGCTTCTGAGGAGCAAAAAAGTAGTAAGAGGTTATTATGCAACTTAGTCACAATACCAAGACTTAAAATCTCCTTACATGCACGTACATTTACCTAGCAAGTATTTAGGGTTAAAATGAATGCTTTTTGGAAGATCAGGAGCTTAACTCTCATAGCATCCATACTTGAATCTTTTAAGATAATGTACATATAAGAAAAGAAATGCTCTAGATTATCTGCATATAAAGTAGAAGTGTTCTAAACCCATCAAGTTTGACATGAAGTGACTGATATATTAATCAAAAGGTTCTGATGATTATGTGATCTGAGGCTCTGATCTGCTGGATTCCTTACCCCTTGCCTATAAAACTTGATTGACCACATTTCCAAACACCTCAACGTTTGCCAAAAATACTCCAGTACACATTTTATTTTCAACTTTCTTCTCAGTGCTTGGAAATGCAGTCACACATGGCCTTGTATGTTTGATAAATTATGTAAACCAGGAAATAAAATTTGTACTGTACATGTACCTGAACATGAAAAGCTCTGGTGTTAAGTCCATCTGCCAAAAGATCATGAAGTTTTGTTGCTTCTTCATGCATTAACGTCAAACTTTGTTTTATACCTAGAAAACAATGTTCTCAAACTCATTTCTAAATACCAATTCATAAAGATTTAAAAACAAACATAGCTGAGATGGTGGTTTGGATATCAGATAATTTGATCTTAATTTGGATAAATTTTTATAACTTTATTTCTCCTTTTTCTCCCTGGTCTATAGCTTTCCCTAGATTCTACATAAAAGTTTCATAATTCCCTCCAACATTATAATTTTCAATTTTTTTTTCACGACTGATCCCTAGAATTGGATGCTTTTCTTTTGGAGTTAAAGAATCTACGGAAGCTGTAAATGAATTTTGACCAAGTGAAAAATGTAATTTGTCACCAAACAGATATTAGCAGAAAAAAAATTCAGATAAGGAAAACGGGTTGGATTACAAAAAAACCTTAGAAAATGTCTATCACCGATCGCAACACTGGAAGTAGATGTTTAGCAGCTCGTAATAGGGCTACCTTTACAGTTGTGTAGTAAACATGAGAATTTCTATTTACCTCCACTTCCTTCAAAAGCCTTCTCTACTGTATCAATATGTTTCTCAAAGTTGTGAAGCTAAAAAGTTATGATAATAAGAGTTTAGTAACTGGATGGTTGTCTGCAATGGAGTTAGCACAAGTATTTAGATCTCTATCAATGCTGTACTAATTTTGGATCATGCATACTGAGGGTATTGATCCAAAGTCAATCAATACCCTTAATCGATACCCTCAATCAACTCGACTCTTATCCACATCTTGGTTGACAATTGGTCAAGAGTTGACTAATTTGTGATCAATGCGTGAGTTGGTTGACACTTGGCCAACTATTGACTGACTCTTGATTGAGTTTTGATCGAGTGTTAATCGAGATGTCAAACAAGTGTCAATTGAGTGTCGACCAAGCATTGATTGGAATGTTGACCGAGTGTTGATCGAGATGTTGATCAAGTGTTGATCGAGGGTTGAGCTTTACTACACGTGATCCTTACTTTTACTAAAATAGTAACATTATAGTTAATTTAATCTTTCTACAGTATAGACCTATACAGTGTTGTTTAGATAAAAGAACATTAATGTTGCAGTTCCTAGGGAGTAATACTTCAAATACCCTGACAAACACAAGCAATAAACACGCGTTCTATGATGTAAAGGGGGGAACACTGCTCCACAATCAGCGTGACAGACGAACTTCCATTGCGTGACCAAATGCCAAACTTATCTCCCCAGCGGTTAATTCTGCACTGGATCGGACAAGTCGGTGAGGCCAAAAGCTTGCGCGTCCTAGAAGCGTAACTCTAAACAGCATTACGAGCTGACCAGTCAGCATTGTGCTAGAGTGTAGACAGTTCTCAAGCCTTACTTATCTCCCCAGCACAAAGGAGGCATAAAGGAACGTTAAATAGCGCCACTAAATTAGCGAAAACGAAGCTTGGGGATGTCGGTGCAAGACGTAACCACCACTAATACCTGCGGAGCAGATATTCCCCCAAGCAAAAGAAGTGCCAAATTAAGAAAAGAGAACGCTGGCCATACGTGGCGCAGCGGACAATAGGACATTTTGAGGTGTATGGATGTACAGTTGGTAACAATCTGAAGACCATCTGCCAAGAACTTTTATTAACCAGTCTGGGAGACCAGCAGCAGCTGCTGTAGAGGCAGTGCCATTGTATGTTAACAGCAGTTAATTTAATCTTTCTACAGTATAGACCTATACAGTGTTGTTTAGATAACAAAAAATAAATAAATATACACTAATTATGTTCTATAATTCTGCAAAAAAATATATAAAGACCAAAAATTGAGAACTTCCATGTTGTTACTGAGCTAGAATAAATAATGGTGGCAACTTTCTGTATACTAGCAAAGGGTTTTCAGTAGCTGAGTATTACAAACATTAGCTCTACAGTGAATCATATGTCACCTGTTCTTGAGCATTATCCAAATCTTTAATTTCCTGCTTCAATGCTGAATTGACATACTTGGCCTGTAAGACAAGTGTTATAATAATAATATTGACAACAACAGAATATGATAAAGAAGTAAACTCAATCAATTTGCATTGGGTGATGTATTTTTTTCTAAAAGTGCTTACTGCTTTGATTTTCTTTTCTAGTTCTTCAAGCTCTTTATCAATCTGTTTTTCATCCTCAACCGTGTACTGATGGTTGCAATGTACCTGAAATAAAATAATACATCAACTACATATTGTCTTGAAAAAAAATTCCCTTTCTAACAGCCAAGTTAAACTGTGAGTTATAATGTTACACCATTTGGATTAAGCTTAGTATAGGAAAATTCAATATTATTTTGTTTATATTAGTAGCCCTTTATAAGCAGTAGCACTTTTTGAGGTAAGTCACTTGTCCATGTTTGCCTTTTGTGGCCATAGTAAAGAAGTGCAGCTTGCCACGATTTCCTCCTCCCAATTTATAATTTATAGCTTGGAACTGTAAGATTGTTATGTCAGACAAGTAAGTTTTATACATCAATAGCCCAATACCTAATGAAAATGAGATTAACCTGACGTTAAATAAATTATTTCGTCTTACATGTATCTTTCTATGGGGAAGCAGATTTTAAACTTATCCCAGGTTAGCTAGCTAGTATTCAACCTTTAACTTCCAACTTGTCCACAAAGCAAACCAGGAAAATGTGATTTACCTAGTTGAGGGCATATTAATCACATGACTGTAATACAAGCTACCTCACTATATAGTTATCTCACCTTATCTTCAGGTAATAGAACATTAGCTGGTATCTTGAAGATATTATTCTTTACATAGACCTGAATGGCAGAAAACATATTTGAGCATGCAATATCTGACAAATAAAAATTTATAAAGGGAAAAATGTCAAAAATCTTGTTTTACCTCAAATCTGTCAAAGGCAACATCAATACTCCGGTAAAAATTGTTGGCCATTTTATCACTTTCCTAAATTGAAGTTAAAAAAAAAATTTAATAAAGATTATTAAAACATATACAGTGGAACCCTGCCTTCCGGCCACCCCATTAATGTGGCCACCTTGTTATTACAGCCACTTTATTCTGGCCTGAACAAAGGCTCAGTCAGTCATTTACTGATCGTCACCTGGTTAATACGGCCAGATTTTTGTGGCCTGTTGGTGACTGGATTAACAGGGCTCCTTTGAAGTGAAGCCTTATTAGCATGATTGGTCTGCAATGCGTGTAGAGAGATCATATTATTGTACACTGCCAAAGGTTATATTTTTTCAAATTTTATAACTGCCAAAAGCAAATTAAAGTAGGTGGGGCAACTACCCTAAAAAAGGTACCAATATGATTATGTTGGTGTCAGTAATACAAAACACTAAGTAAAATATCCAGCAAGATTCTAAATGACATTCCTTAATGACAACTTCTAGAGACAGCTTATTAGATGCTGAGCCCTGCTAACAAATTTGTTCCTGTAGGTCTTGTAGTCTGAAAGCAGTCTAAAATTGGCAAATTTACAATGGCATCCATGGTATCTACATTCACTGGAAAGATTATTTTGGCAAATGGTGGTAACTGAGTCTTAACATTTTTAAAAGTAGGTCTTACCGCCTGGAGTTGCTCTTCTGTTACTGCACTTGACAACAAGGGCTAAGTTAAAGAAGGAAATTGTTAAAAAAAATCCTCAATTCCATGAAAATGTAATGGTAAAATCTGTTCTCAATTAAGAGATCAGAGCTAGAGGCTGACCACGAAAAAGCTTGGAGTATTATAGACGGGTTACTAACTAAGTGTGAGGTCAAGATAGCTGGATATTGACCAAGTTCTTCTTTTTGCATGTTTATGGACTTTGACACTGTCTTGGTCCATAAATATGCAAAAAAAAAAAAATGAGGCCAATATCTAGCCATCTTGGCCAAACAAGCCTGGTCAATAAAGGATTTGTTAATAATATGGAAAAAGAACGCTATTTTCTTGGGGGACACAGTGGGTAATCGCAAGCCGTCATCTGGCATGAGTTTGTACAGAGAGTAGGAGCTGAAATATAAGAGTTTGTTGCATCAGCTCTTAATCTTGTATTTAGCTCCTATATCTCCCTGCAAAACTCTTATAGTACGCTTGGGTAACCTTGGCAATGCTTGGGTCTCCTAGGGCCTTCTCCCATTGAAGTGAATGTTTCCTGAGAAAGATGATTGTCAGCAGCGAAAAACGCAACCGTTGATCGATCAGAATTCCCGTGGAGGTGCCGTAAGGCGTAAAATGCAACATCAGATAAGACTATTTGTGCTAACAGAAAGGAGGGATTGCCTCTCTATCGATCTCTGTTTTTGTCTTTAGACCACTTTAGATCAACTTACCTCGCTTTTGAGAATATTTTCCAGTTCTTGAAAGCAGTCAACGACATAATCATTAACTGCATTATACACTGAAGATTAAAACAAATGGTGTTAATAAAGTTTTAACAAGCTTTAAGCTTGGAGCTTCACTTTAAAATTTTGAGCCTTGATTCTAATATTGCTTCAGACAGTTACCGAAAGAAATCATTGCAACTAACCTCCATCTACGAAGGATTCTGGTGTAAATCCGAAGAACTGAGTTTCATATTCGTATTCTGTGGGTTTTGAATCAACTGGCTCCATTCTGCTGGAATTCAAGTTTTACATTTCACGCAAAGACAGTAGAAAGTACGTTGCACTATGATCTGCAGCAGGTCAGCAATGAAAAACTTCCCGCCATAACTAAAAACAAAATTTTCGTACGGGAGTAGGGAGAGGTGGTTATTTTATTTTTCAGTCTGATAGCAACATTACAACCGAAAACACTTTTAAAATAGATTTGATAGATTGATAATGCCATATTTTCTTTTAATTCTTTCATTAAATTGCTGTCGCGCGAGCAGAAAGAGTTTTCATTCCTGGAAGCTTTCTTTCACTCACTCCCCACCCGTAGGGTCTCTGTGGCTATTTCACACAGGGGACTGGTACTAGTGTATATTTTATTTGGTCTGTTTGTTTGGCTTTCACAACGGTCGGAGTTGAGCTCATCGAGATCTTGGTAATTTATTTTCAACCCTTTTTTTCGCCTTTTTACTTCCCTAGAGTGCGTGGATCTCATTGCGGTGCTCTTAAGTTGGGTAAGAAGTTTATTTTGTACCTTTACTTGGTCTTTATAGATTGATGGACAGGACTTCTTGTGTTCGCTTGTATTCGGTTGTATCGGGCTTGAGTCTTCTAACTTTCATCTCGCGTGCTCTTCAAAAACAATATCTGATGCAAATCAAAAACAACTTCGTTTTAATGGTTTACATCGTTATGTTATTGATGAATATAAGCACATGAAGTGAACTTAGTGTTTCTATCCTGACCTGTCCAGCTCTTTTCAGCAGAATTTAGAGTTGATGTTATCTTGAGTTCATACTGTCCAAAGGTCTGTCATTCAGTCAGCAGCGTATACCCTAGCCTGTATTCTGCATTTGCATTTGACTGTTCATGATCGATCAGTATGAAGCTTTATAAATTCTTATTACCTTATTGGTGCGTGGACCAGTTTTCACCTTGAACAGGTTTTGCTTTCTGTTCATTGTTTTTCTTTCATGCTTTGCAAGTGAGGTCTGTGGTCAGTCAAGTGACATTACTTGTCAGATGTGTTATTACTGGAGATGAATATCACGTTGCATCTCTGCAGCAGGCTCTGCTAAATTTAAAAACAGAAAACTTGGTGTGGCCTGTTGTATACTATAACTTTGTTTTCTTTCAGATAATTTGGGAAACTCGATAATTTCTTGATTACCAATCCTATTCCACAATGGATTACAGTCCCCAATCCATGACTTCATCCATGCCATATGAGTCCACAATGACGCACACTATGTCAATAGCTGATGACATCAAGACTCAGCACAGACAGTTGTTTAACCCAGTCACCCCTGACATCTCACCTCCTCCACAGATGGCAAATGGAGGAATCCCCTTGAAGAGTAAAGAAGCTCCAGTAAGAGTTAATTAAGCCCAAGCCGAAGGATCATTAACAGTTATTTATTGACTTAGAGTGAGGTCTTTATGTGGAAATCTCAAACTAAGACCTTGCATTATTGACTGAATGATAGGGAGGTTAATATAGCAAGGCTGAGGTTTGAGATTTTCCCATAAAGAACATCTATCCAAGGTTAATAACTAATTTATTTACATGGCTTATATAAAATGTTTTTTTTAAATTAGTGTAGTTTTAGTTTTGATTAGTTTTTGCAGGCACGTAATGAGCCCTTGGGTATTACAGGAGATTAATATCCTAAAATTAACCAATCTGGGTGTGTTATATCAGCTACAAACATAAGCCATCCTCATAGGCCACAATCTTTTTGGTTTGCACTAAAAAATCATGACCTCTGGCTAGTTCTGAGTTTTGTGAGCTTTGATTGCCAGCCAATTAGATTTAAGTAGAATATTAACCAATGGAAGGATAACAAGCTCTGGAAGACAATGCCTGGATGTGTTCTGGCTACTCTGCTGAGCTATTTGTCTGATTCCTTAGAAGATGGTAAATCAGCTGTCTACTCTAACAATAATGCTATACTTCAAAACTTTGTGACAACCCTGTAATAAGATGAAAAATTGTCACCTAACAAAAAGCATGATGCATAAGAAAAAATGCATGATTATTAAGTCGTGGATGAACTAGTTATATGCCACAAAATCTGCAATGCTAGAAGGTTAAAAGCATCTGCAGTTGCATGTCGATCGATACTCTTAATTGACCCTCGATCAACATCTCAATTGACAATTGATCGGCATCTTGATTGATACTTGGCCACACTTAGCTGACATTCTATCAACATCTCGATTGACAGGGTCAATAGTCAGCCAAGTGTCATCCGACTCACATGTATTGCTCGACACTTGATGACATGTCTGTAAACATTAGCCGATTCTCGACCAAATTTCGACGGAGATGTTGATCAAGTGTCAACCAAGATGTCAATCAATTGCCAATTGAGGGTCGATCTAGGGTATTGATCAACACTCGACCGTGGATGCCTTAAGTACACGTCATCCGAAAAGTCAGGCACGACTGGTGAGGCTTTTTTTTTTGACCAGATCATGCAGAGAACCCATTACTCTCCTGAAGTCACATTGATTCTGCTGCCCAGTACTTATTCTCTTTTCTGTACCTCTCCCTTCTTCCTTATTTTCCTGAGACCTTTGTATTCAATTCTCTCCTCTTCAGCCTGTGTTGGAGTTAAGCAACATGACAAATACAGATATTCAAGAAATGGAACAAGTCAGGGAACATCTTCAACTGATGCTGCAAAACTATAAAGGATTCAGTGATCATCAGGGAGATTATGAACTAGCACCAAGTACAACAACTGCAGGTGATTTAGAGTAGTAAAATATGTGACCATTATTTATGTAAAAATGAAAATTAGGGATTAATAATACAAATGATGTTTTGGGGACTCATTCATCATTTTCAAATTTAGAAAACTAAAAGTGAGATTCTTGTGAGTTCTTTATATTCTAAGAATGTGTGTGAAAGTCTTGTTGTGTGTGATTAAAAGCACTACAATGTTGAATGTAGAGAGTGTTAATTAGGTACTAATCAGTTAACACTGTTTTAACTCTACCATTTTTATTTACAGACTATGAAACACAAGGTAATGAAGCTGATAAAGAATCCATTGCCAGTGTTGAAACTACATCTTTGTTACAAAGATTGCTGCCAAACTCCTCCCCACTTTCTGAGCTACAGGTATTTTTATTTAACTTTGCATTAAAATTTTGTATAGAAAATTCTTTGGGTTTGGTTTCCTCTAGATAGACTGCTCTTCAGGACATCTGTTTGTATCTCAGTGATATAAGGATACAAACTGCATATAAACCATACCCAATCAGAAGCCAGGTCTACTGTCCTGATATCCTGCAATATCAAGTCATTGACCTGTTATGGCTGTGATATGATCACTTAGCTGAATTTGGATATGGTAAATACCTAATTTTACACACGATATACATGTATGTACCTTACTTTATGGTACTTTGGTAGCATATCAGCATCGTTTGGTCTCACCATGGGTATCTTGGCTCAAGAGCGTTTCACCAATTAAAAATACAAAACCTTTGGTCAACCAAACTTGCCTGATATGGCACCAATGCATGCCAAAAGGTGCGATTAGGTGTAAATACAGCTTACTAATAATATTGTCAAAGAAAGGAGAGAATTAAACAATCATGATAAAAACTATGAAAGACAAGCTAATAATTAAAACCACCCAAGAAAAGGTGCAGGGAGAAATTTGTTATGGCAAAATTCATATACTTTATTTTAATGTTTTAATTAGGTCCATTTCCAAACTGCCGAGCAAGGCATACCATCTCATGATCAACACACAAGACAAATGGTCTCATTCTCAGGAGATAGAAGGTTAAAACCAATTCCTAGCAGTAAAGTTACAAGTGATAAAACACTTCTTTCCGAAAATTCATTGCTGAGAGATCAGGTGGAGAAGGAACGGTTCAGAAGAAAGGTTAGTGATGATTAACTCTAGTTTCTCCTTGCAATGTTTGTGAATGCATCTTTAAGCAGTTGTTACATAAAGGTAAGAAGAATAAAGATCAAATAAATATGTTATGTTATTTTTTTCTTAATGTACCAGCCACTTCTCAGAACTATCTTAAAAAGAAACGACTGTGTGGTAATGATTAAACAGTGCAGAATAAATTTATTTGTCAACAGTCACAGGGGGTTCATTAATGTTTTCAACAGGAGGGTAACTGGTTTTCACAGGCAGGCAAAACTATTTGAACTGAACTTCTTTTAATTATAAGAAAAACTTTCCGCTAGATGGTCAACCCAGGCAAGCAAAATCATCCTCACATCCAGTCCATTTGCCCAGTGCTTAACCCTTAATGAAACGCCTGTTGTCAGACTAGGAACTGAAAGCAAGAGCAAGCATTAGCAGAGTTAATTACACCTTAAGTCTCAAATTGTTTAGAATACAGTAAACACCCGCATATAAGAACACACAATTTCAGAGGTCAGACTGATTGTATTCTTATTTATCGGATGCTTAGTGAAAAATCAGCCTCAGGATGTTCTTAAATGTTCTTAAATTTTTTTAAATTCAGTGCTGTACATCATAAAAAATGTTGCTAGAAATTTTAATCATGTTTTTGGACAATTACATAAATTGATGGAACAATAATTAAAAACCTAATGTT